TTTTTTACATTGGATATTATAACCGTCCAGACATAATGAATTCCGAATATTTTTTTAAACATTTATTTTATATTGTGCATAACACGCACCACACACCGTTTCCATTCACTCGTAATTTTKTAAGAATTAGGTATAAAACTACGAAATGATCCAGCCAATTTTACTATATAATATATGATATTGTATATACTCGTATTATTTCGTTTTAACTAAGCCCGATCCAGTGCTCATATGCTTTCCCAGATGAAATGCAACGAAATTTATTATTATTATTATTGTAACGTCGGATTTTTATCTGAGTAGTTTAACAGGCAGAAGTCAATATATCTACTCAAATGAATAGTGTGCATTTTGCATCACAAATATATTTGAAAAGCTTATAAATAAATTTGATAAACTTAAAGTTTAAGAATGCGTCTTACGTCTTCTGCCTCTCGAACACACAGATAAACATGCTGCGCGGATAACATGTAAATATATTGTTCATAAGCTTAAATATACATTATTATACTTATAATGATTAAAAATTAATATTATAACTAGGCCAAACAAATTGTCTACTTAATATAATTAATGAATTTATTTAAAATAATGTTTTGCCAATAAACTAGGTACCTATATATTATAAAATTAGCAAAAATATTATATTTCGATTCTGTTTAAATTTAATATTGTACTTTTATACATAGCATATTGTGTGTTTTATTGTGAATATTTTTTTTTTTTTTTACTGACGTTTTTGTGATACGAGATTATAATATTAATTAATTAATATTACCTACTAAATGTATTATTTTCTTTAAAAAAAAAATATATTTCTAACGCATTGTACTTTATTTCAAGGCTGGGCAAGTTAGTAATTTTTTTTTAACTCAGTTAAGTTAAGTTAAATGTTTTTTGTTCAATTAAATTAAATGTTAAGTTAACATATTTTTAATACATCAATCAAGTTTAAAGTTAAGTTAACAAATTTTGTTAACTTAACTTAACTTCAATTAATAAGCCAAATTAATAAAAAAAAAAAAATGCATTGAAAAGGTTTAAAATAAGTGAAAATCACAAATGTAGTTGAATAAACCACTATTTATAGGTAGGTAAGTATTTTTGTAATAAAATGGTTACAGTTCATGATAATCGACAATCATAAAAATTATAAAATCAGATATTAATAAATATTAAGTAATAATAATAATAATAATAATAATAATTAATGAGTACCTAACAAGCCTGGTATTATTAAACGTGATTCGTGAGCTCGTAGCTTTATTGATATACCTTATAATATAATAAGATGGTCATACGGGCGACAAAATGTCTCATTGTTACAATGTTATCTCTATATTATAAATTATTATTTATTATTTTATTACTTAATTAATATAACATATTAGTTGTTATTTATAAAAATAATTACGAAAATATCTTCTTTTTTTTCCAACAATATTTTCTAATATTCTACGAATTTTAAATCGACGAACCGTTATAGACTAAAATATATTCTAGATTAAACGAAAATTCAAAATTAACTTAATTGGTAATATTAAAAAGTAGAAGTTGATCTTAAGTTAACGTAGATAAAAATAAGTTATGTTAAAGTAAAGGTAATTAAAACAGCGAACTATTAAGTTAAGTTAATAAKTTAAAATTAACTTAACTTTTAACTTATTAATTTTTATTGACAGTGAAACCCTCCTGTGGCTGTGTTTATAACAGGACTAACATTTTCTTTTAAAACCAATTTACATTTTTCAGGAAATAAACCTGATCCAGTAAACATATCAATATTATTATTAATAAATTGATCTTCATTCTTAATTGCTTGCACTCTTTTAACTAGATTCAATTGTTCACACAATTCTGAGCCAAGTATTGCCTCTATTTTTTTTTACATTGCCCATGTTTTACCGTATCGTCAACAACAAGAAATTTTCCTTTTATTTTCATTTCACTCTGAGCTTGACATTCTACCCGTATTGTAATGGTTCTATTAAATATCCTCCAAATGTTTCTATTCTTACTTCACACTTTTCAATTGTAGGTTTTGGTATCAACTTGATATAGAAACTATAGGGTAGTATACTAACTTCAGCGCATGCATCAAGTTTTATTTCCACATTCAAGTTATTAATTTGTATTAATTGTGTTCATTTTTTTTTCCTTTGCTAAGTTATTTTCTTGATTAAGAACTCTGGTTATGCTATTAATATTGAAGTGCTCCTCATTACTGTCTGATTTTCCAAGATCTACTGTTCTATAATCTAACTTTTTTATTTTTGCAACCTACAGCAAAATGATTCATCTTCGAACAATTACTACACTTTTTCCCAAATGCTGGACAACTTTTTGGACCATGTTCATTATTACATTKTTTACATAAGTATTTTACATCTTTGTAACTATTTTTATCAACATCACTGATATTAACAAATTTTTTATTTTTATACAACTGCTTACCTTTTTATGATGCTGCTTGAACGACTTAACTTCTGCTCTGTTTACCCCTTCCTTGCCGATGACTGATGTTGATTTGATCTCGTGCCTACTTTTCTCCGATAATTCAACGGACTGACAGAATTGCACAGTTTGCTCTAAATCCATATTTTTCTCTAGTAGGTTTTGTTTTGAGTTTCTTTATTTTGAATACCCAATACAATTTGAGCATTGTACACAACAACTATTTTTCAGCATCTTTGAACTAACAATGTTTTACAAGTTCTTTTAGATCTGTATAATATTTGTCAAACGGTTCTGACTGGTTTTGTCTTCTTTGAAMAAATTTGAATTGAGACATTACCAGATTTATTTTTGGTACGCATCTTAGTTTCAGTGCGTCCAATATTGCACTTACTGTTTGTTCTTCATTGTCGTATTTTATTTGGAAATATATTTTTCTAGCTTCTGCACCCATTACGTTCAAAAGTCTACCAACTTGAGTTTCTTTCGATTTCTTAGTGGTTTCAGTTGATGTGAAGAATATCTCAATTTCTTGTCGAAATATTTCGAAATTTGACTCCACGTCTCCRTCCAGTTTTAGAATTGCTGGTTTTTCGAACTCTATCATTTTATTACTTATTAGTTTTAATTTATACAGTATAACTATGGAATAGTTAATATCCTACCGACTACGCCATGTTACGTCTTAAGCTATTAACCTGACGTTGGTTATTTTAAAAGATGGAAACATATACAAAAAGAATATATTATTTAAGTTAATCTGCATTGTGCTTTTATTGAACAAAAAGTATTGACATCTTACAATGTTAGGTTATGTGAATGGTGACATTCTTATCACATTRGTTAMTATCAAATAATTTCAGATTATGAAACACTTACCAACGTCATTTTATATTATTTTGCCACGTTTATGATTGGATGAGTGTGTATATGCAATCATTAAAATACCTATACCTAAATGTTGTTTTTAATCACCAWCAAATTTAAATTTTTTAATTCAGTGTTCAGGGGTACTCTGTTAGTGTGATTCTATTGACTAGAGTGTCTAGACCTCTAGACGCCGTCTGAGCTTACCCGTCATCCGCTCCTGCAGACTGGTGGGCRACAAATTACCTATACTAATAAATTATAATTATTATGATTATCATTGTGAAAATCAGGCGGAACGTAGTTTTCTACCACGACGATCACTATCACGGAATCAATAGTCAATCAGATATAATATAAGTTAGGTTAGAAACAAAAAAATGGTATTCAGTATAGAAAAAATTATATTCAGTAAGTATAGAAAAAATCGTAGAAGAAACCATATCACGGTTCGATCTTTTCGATTATAAAATTTTGTTGGTGAACCATAGTGTACCCGAGAAAGATCATCGCTTTCAAAAGTCCCCTTTCCTTTAAAAAAAAAAACTATGGTATTTCCCTCTGATTGAATAATTACTTTGAAATGTTTGGCTGACATCGTGTTTAAAGTGTATTAACTGCAGAATAACGTATTACGTAGGTATTACAGAAAAAACTAAACTGATTATCTCATATTATGTTGACAATTTTTGCTGGATCCAGGTTGTATTAAGTATAGCTTTATATTATTTATATAGAAAAAACTTCGTCAAGATAAGCTTTTAATCGTCTTCAAGTTGTAGATCGCATATTGTCGCGACTACGGCGGGAGTGTCGTCGATGCTGTCCGCGGTGAGACGGTCGCTGATGGGTTGGTGGTGAATTAAAAGGGAATTACGACGCGCACTTAGTATGTTTAATACCAAATGTCGACGGTCGAAATATCGACAAATAAATAATGTTGACGTGTACAAAATATCGACAAGTTAATCAAAACAAAAAAATTATTATTTTAATTTATTTTAGAAAGACCAACGGATTGAACTTTTCGCCACATACTTTGTCCCAATCGACATAATCGACTTTAACTATTTGTGAACTCCTGTTTAACTG